TCTGATCATCCAGTCATTGAAGACAGGTCAAGTGGATATTATCTGCAAGTGTGGGTGTTCTTGTGCACCTCCCCTCACTTCATATCAGCTGGACGCTTCACTCTCCACTCTAATCCTCTATGGCTATTTCACTGTCTCTGGACCTAGGAGTCCCCAGGTCTTGCCATACTGCTGGCCACCCAGGTCTCCACCTGGGTTCCCAGGAGTCTATTGAATGTCATTGGACTTAGCTCACAGCTTCGTTGCTGTTTTTCCCTCACTTCCCCATATCGGTGACCATCGTGGTCACCAGTCAGAGCGCATACCTGTTCGTGTGTTCCCCTTAAGTCTCGCTCAGCCTTGGAAGGGTTTTGCCCTGCATGCTGTGACCTTTTGAAAGGAGATTACCAGGCTTTTCTTCTGAGGCATGACTGGGCTCAAACCACCCACATTTTGGCTAGTGATCAAGTGCTTAACTGTTTGCATTACTTTGTAGTTGTTAAATGCTGTTCAGTCAGTTCCAACCCATAGTGATATCCTGTATAGGGTTTCTTATGAGCAGCCGGTGAGCTTGAAATACGGACCTTACGGTTCAAAGTGACTTTGCAGTCCAGGGCATTAACCCATAAGTGCCACACCAGGTCTCTTGTTTGCAATATACTTCTTAGTTAATAATAATAATGAAATCTTGTTTAATATTCTACTCGAGCTGGTGTGGCACTATAGGATAAGCACTGAACCATTACCCATGAGGTCAGCAGTTCAAACCTTACTCAGGGTTGCTATGAGTCAGAACCGACTCAATGGCACTTATCAACAAACAACAAGAATTGAAAGTTGAATCTGAGTAAATCCATTGTGTGGTCCTACTTGACTGGGCCTTGCTTGATATGTATTGAGAGAATGAGACAAATGGAGACATCTGGGACTGACAGGTCTGAGGACCTCTACAGACAGCTGACCATTGGCACAGATGCTAGCCAGCTACTTCTGAGTAACCAGCAACCCAAGTCATTAGCCATTGCATTGTCTGTTGCCATTCTGCAGCCTGACTGGGCTCAGCTGGATGGTTCTTCCAGGGGGTTCACTTGGGGTCACCCATGCAGGCGCAACAAGCACTGGAACACTTAGGAGGTCTGTGCTTAGGGTCACTGAAGGGCCCTCTCTATGTAGCCTTTGCAGACAGACAAACTCCACATATGGAGCTAGCTGAGAGCTCAAACAGTGTTCCTGACGGCCCAGATCTAGAGTGGGAACCCATAGGGCGTGAGTGTGTGTGCTGCAGTCAGAGCACTTGGTCTGACCAAGCCCCACACTAGTCTCTGCGTGTTCTCCAGGCCCTGGATGCCCTGCGGGAGGCTCTGGCCCACTCCCAGCCACAAGAGGTGTCGGTGTCCCTGGCCCGCTTCCGTGATCAGTGCCAGCAGCACAAGTCCTGCCGATTCCTGGCTGCCCAGAAGGGAGCCTACCCTGTACTGCTCGCTGCCTGTCAGATGGCCTTGGCAGGCGACCCAGCCCACCTGCTCCAGGCGCTGGATACCCTCGCAGCACTAATGGACGGCCAGCCCGACCTGTTAGATGCCCAGGGCTTGCAGCTCTTGGTGGCTACATTAGCCCTGGTCGCTGACACAGCTGACCTTACCTGCGCCACACTCCGCCTGGTGCGCCACTCTTGCCTGAAGCATGAGCAAAATCGGCAGGCCTTGGTCAAGGCTGGCGTGCTGCCCCTGCTGACCGGAGCCATTACCCAGCACAGTCACTGCGCTGATGTGGTCCGAGAGGCCTGTGGGGCACTCCGTGTGATGACCTTGGACGACGACATCCGTGTGCCCTTTGGCCACGCCCATGCACACGCCAGGATGATTGTGCAGGAGAATCGGGGCCTGAAGGTGCTGATGGAAGCTGCCCAAGGTAGGGCATGTGGAATGGCTCTAGGGGCATGTTCACCTCTGAGACTGGGCTAAGCTGGACAGTTCAACCTGAGCAGCCCTAGGGAGCATGGTCTCCTCTGAGGCTTGGGGCTCAACTGGGTGTTTGTGCTGGTGGAGGCTGCCCAAAGTCGGGGATGGGACAGCCCAGGGGCATGGCCTCCTGAGGCCTAGGGCTCAGTTGGGCGATTTATGTGCTGGCTGCCCAGAAGGCTTCCAGGCCATGTCTCATTGGCCAAGTCCAGTGGACCTGTCCCTGGTCACTTGGGGAGGGATCCTGACTGTCCAGCCACAGGGATGGAGAGGAGTAAAGGTCCCCTCATGGAAGCTGGGGGGCTATTTCTGGTCAGGGGCTTTGATGCCTGCACTGTGGTTGGCCTTAGCCACAGGGATGGAGGGGAGTGAAGGTCCCCTCATGGAAGCTGGGGGGCTATTTCCGGTCAGGGGCCTTGATGCCTGCACTGTGGTTAGTCCCTGTGTGGTTCCCACTTCTGCCATGTCTGACCCCAAATTCTGTGTACGTTCATGTGCCTAGTTCTGTCTGTGCTGGTCTTACCCTCACAACGCTGACACCAGGGCCCAAAACTCCTGCCCGATCCACTGCTGCCTGGGGAAGGCTTGATCAGGGCCCAGAGCCCAGAAGGTAGTGGGAGGGAGAAGGCCCCTGTCCTGCCCACCTGTATGAACAGCCAAGCCCCATGTAGACCAGCTGAAATGGTGATATGGACCTGACAGTCTTCACGTCAGCTGTTCCTCTGAAAGGGGGTCTATACCTGTCTGTTCATTCTGGGAGCTCTGTCAGCCCAGGTTCTCCAGGAAACACAACCAACAAAAGCCACATGACATATGCATGCGTGAATATATGTGTGTGTGTTTGTGTGTAGGTATATGTGTAAGGCGCTCTGGTAGTGTACTGGTTATGAGTCAGGCTGCTGTCCTCAAGGTCAGGAGTTTGAAACTACCAGCCGTTCTGCAAGAGAAAGAGACTTTCTGCTCCCATAAAGATTTACAGTCTCATGCAGGGTTGCTATGAGTCGGAATCGACTCCATGGCATACCACCACCATGTATATACATGAAGTTCTGGTGTGACACCATAGGATAAGCACTGGACTGCTAGCCTCAAGGTTGGTGATTCAAACCCGTCATTCGCTCCTCGGAAACCCTATCTAGGTTCACTATGAGTTGGGATCAACTCAATGGCACTTAAAGCAACAACAGCTTCTGTGTGTGTGTGTGTGTGTGTGTGTGTGTTTTCCCTGGGTAATGGAAGTGTTTAACACACTTGTGTACTAACAACCAGAAGATTGGAGGCTCAGATCCCCCCAGAGACATCTCAGAATAAAAGTCCTGGTGATGTGCTTCCCAGCACCTAGTGGACTGTGGAAGACAGGTCTACCCTGTACACAGAGTCCTCCTGAGACAGAATCACTGTGACAGCAACTAACAGCAGATACATCTGTTCTATATCTGTGTTTATAGCTGCTGCTATATATAAAAGATTTAGCTCATGGAATCGCCTCACATGACGGGCTGCAAGACTGAGCTACACAGGGCAGAGCAGACCAGACATGCGCAGGGACCAAGGCCATGGTCCCTTGATGGAATTCTTCCTCCTTCCTCACGGTCTGTTCTTCAGGCCCTCAGCTGACAGATGGGGCCCACTGGGTTTGGAGAGCCATCCCCTGTGGTGATTCCTCAGCCGATGGGTGTTAGCCATGTTTGCAAACTGTTGCCGTATGCTGAGTGCCTGCCTGAATATCACTCAAAGTGTAACTGATGCTTGAAGGTCTCTTTCATGGGCTGTGGTATCTGTCCTCACTCTGGGGATCTCTGCAAGGATGTCCCCTCCCAGCTCCTAGGTACTTACGTGGGCTGTGGATTCACTCTGTGCTGTCAGGCCAGCTGTCCATATTTCCTTCCAGGGTATCTGAGCTTTGTGTCACTTAGGATTATTCCCAATCCAAGATCATAAACGTGTCTTGAGTGTTTTATTATAGTGCTTTGTTTTCGTTTTCTAGATGAAAGCATCCATTGGTCTGTGATTTCTTTGGGGTATTGAGGGCAGTTCTTACCTATCCCCCAGCAGCCAGCAGGGGTTGCTGCAGGCCCAGGCCCTGGGTATACACCAGGTCCTGCTCCTGAACAGTCTCCATTGGGGAAGCCCTAGTGCTAATGGGCTTCCTAGTACAGGAATGCCCCATGAAGCTGAGGGGCTGGACCCCTCCCTCCCGATCAAAGCTGCAGCCCACCCCCACCCCCCCACCCAACACACACAGACACCATCCATGGAAGCAGAATCAGCACCTCAGACCTCTGGCCCCAAACCCGAACCCAGCTGGTTCTCCTACCTAGGGGCCAAGTGGGTAGCCAGCCCACCATCCTCCTTACAGGTCTCCCCAAGCCCTCTGGTTTTCCCCATACCCCCTCTTGAGTCCCTTATCTTCCCAGTTCTCCCCAGACCCCTTGACATTCCTCTCACCCCCCAATGTGTGCTCTCTCCCCCTGCACACATATGTCCTCCCCACCCCCACCCCTGGCAGCATTTCCTGACAATCCCAGCGTCCTGGGTGACCTCTGCAACACCCTGTCACGCCTGGCCGTTCGCAATGAATTCTGCCAGGAGATCGTGGACCTCGGTGGCCTGGGTATCCTGGTGGCCCTGCTGAACGATGACACCAATCACCAGGTGGGCATTGCAACCCTTCTCCCCAGGGTGGGGAAGGGCCCCCAGGTGAATGCTACCCCTGAGCTTCAGCCAGCCCAGACCCCAAACCCTGGACCTCAGGTTGGGCTTGCAATGATTTAGAAGAAAGCCTTACCCTGTTGTGGGCCTCAGTTTCCCCATCTGTAAAATGGAACCAGGACCCCTACCCATCTTAATTTCATCTAGGAGGATTTTCAGCCCAGAACACAGCCAGGAAAGTCCTCAGAGTGCCCAGCATGTTGCCTGGCGAGGGGCACCACTAGGGCTCAGAGTGTGTACCAGGCAGAGAGCCAGACTTGAACTAGTTAATACTAGTTCAGCAAACAAGGCAAGGCATTTTGCTCCCCTGAAAGCACGACCTAGGTTTCAAACCTCCCTCGTCTCTCTGCCCGGCATCATGCTGATTGGCTGACCCAAGTCACATGGCCCCAGCAGACCCAAGGTGTTTGGACCCCCACCTGCCTCCAGTGTGCCTTCCTGTCTGCCAGTGGGGGGCCTCCGCCTGTGGCCACACCTGTTCAAACCTGAACCACCTATGAGGCAGGTACAGAGGGGTTGTTGCTGACTTCTGTCCTCACCACAGGACCTGGTGAAGCAGGTGCTAAGTGCCCTGAGGGCCATCGCAGGCAACGATGATGTAAAAGATGCCATTGTCCGTGCAGGCGGAGCTGAGTCCATTGTGGCTGCCATGATGAGGCACCTGGCCAGCCCCCAGGTGCACACCCCCAGGGGTGGGAGTAAGGGGTCCTGGTCAGTGTCCATAACTGCCTGGTGCTCCTTCCCACTTCTTCA